CCCCCCCCCCCCCCCCCCCCCCCCCCCCCCCCCCCCCCCCCCCCCCCCCCCCCCCCCCCCCCCCCCCCCCCGCCCCCCCCCCCCCCCCCCCCCCCCCCCCCCCCCCCCCCCCCCCCCCCCCCCCCCCCCCCCCCCCCCCCCCCCCCCCCCCCCCCCCCCCCCCCCCCCCCCCCCCCGCCCCCCCCCCCCCCCCCCCCCCCCCCCCCCCCCCCCCCCCCCCCCCCCCCCCCCCCCCCCCCCCCCCCCCCGCCCCCCCCCCCCCCCCCCCCCGCCCCCCCCCGCCCCCCCCCCCCCCCCCCCCCCCCCCCCCCCCCCCCCCCCCCCCCCCCCCCCCCCCCCCCCCCCCCCCCCCCCCCCCCCCCCCCCCCCCCCCCCCCCCCCCCCCCCCCCCCCGCCCCCCCCCCCCCCCCCCCCCCCCCCCCCCCCCCCCCCCCCCCCCCCCCCCCCCCCCCCCCCCCCCGCCCCCCCCCCCCCCCCCCGCCCCCCCCCCCCCCCCCCCCCCCCCCCCCCCCCCCCCCCCCCCCCCCCCCCCCCCCCCCCCCCCGCCCCCCCCCCCCCCCCCCCCCCCCCCCCCCCCCCCCCCCCCCCCCCCCCCCCCCCCCCCCCCCCCCCCCCCCCCCCCCCCCGCCCCCCCCCCCCCCCCCCCCCCCCCCCCCCCCCCCCCCCCCCCCCCCCCCCCCCCCCCCCCCCCGCCCCCCCCCCCCCCCCCCCCCCCCCCCCCCCCCCCCCCCCCCCCCCCCCCCCCCCCCCCCCCCCCCCCCCCCCCCCCCCCCCCCCCCCCCCCCCCCCCCCCCCCCCCCCCCCCCCCCCCCCCCCCCCCCCCCCCCCCCCCCCCCCCCCCCCCCCCCCCCCCCCCCCCCCCCCCCCCGCCCCCCCCCCCCCCCCCCCCCCCCCCCCCCCCCCCCCCCCCCCCCCCCCCCCCCCCCCCCCCCCCCCCCCCCCCCCCCCCCCCCCCCCCCCCCCGCCCCCCCCCCCCCCCCCCCCCCCCCCCCCCCCCCCCCCCCCCCCCCCCCCCCCCCCCCCCCCCCCCCCCCCCCCCCCCCCCCCCCCCCCCCCCCCCCCCCCCCCCCCCCTCCCCCCGCCCCCCCCCCCCCCCCCCCCCCCCCCCCCCCCCCCCCCCCCCCCCCCCCCCGCCCCCCCCCCCCCCCCCCCCCCCCCCCCCCCCCCCCCCCCCACCCCCCCCCCCCCCCCCCCCCCCCCCCCCCCCCCCCCCCCCCCCCCCCCCCCCCCGCCCCCCCCCCCCCCCCCCCCCCCCCCCCCCCCCCCCCCGCCCCCCCCCCCCCCCCCCCCCCCCCCCCCCCCCCCCCCCCCCCCCCCCCCCCCCCCCCCCCCCCCCCCCCCCCCCCCCCCCCCCCCCCCCCCCCCCCCCCCCCCCCCCCCCCCCCCCCCCCCCCCCCCCCCCCCCCCCCCCCCCCCGCCCCCCCCCCCCCCCCCCCCCCCCCCCCCCCCCCCCCCCCCCCCCCCCCCCCCCCCCCCCCCCCCCCCCCCCCCCCCCCCCCCCCCCCCCCCCCCCCCCCCCCCCCCCCCCCCCCCCCCCCCCCCCCCCCCCCCCCCCCCCCCCCCCCCCCCCCGCCCCCCCCCCCCCCCCCCCCCCCCCCCCCCCCCCCCGCCCCCCCCCCCCCCCCCCCCCCCCCCCGCCCCCCCCCCCCCCCCCCCCCCCCCCCCCCCCCCCCCCGCCCCCCCCCCCCCCCCCCCCCCCCCCCCCCCCCCCCGCCCCCCCCCCCCCCCCCCGCCCCCCCCCCCCCCCCCCCCCCCCCCCCCCCCCCCCCCCCCCCCCCCCGCCCCCCCCCCCCCCCCCCCCCCCCCCCCCCCCCCCCCCCCCCCCCCCCCCGCCCCCCCCCCCCCCCCCCCCCCCCCCCCCCCCCCCCCCCCCCCCCCCCCCCGCCCCCCCCCCCCCCCCCCCCCCCCCCCCCCCCCCCCCCCCCCCCCCCCCCCCCCCCCCCCCCCCCCCCCCCCCCCCCCCCCCCCCCCGCCCCCCCCCCCCCCCCCCCCCCCGCCCCCCCCCCCCCCCCCCCCCCCCCCCCCCCCCCCCCCCCCCCCCCCCCCCCCCCCCCCCCCCCCGCCCCCCCCCCCCCCCCCCGCCCCCCCCCCCCCCCCCCCCCCCCCCCCCCCCCCCCCCCCCCCCCCCCCCCCCCCCCCCCCCCCCCCCCCCCCCCCCCCCCCCCCCCCCCCCCCCCCCCCCCCCCCCCCCCCCCCCCCCCCCCCCCCCGCCCCCCCCCCCCCCCCCCCCCCCCCCCCCCCCCCCCCCCCCCCCCCCCCCCCCCCCCCCCCCCCCCCCCCCCCCCCCCCCCCCCCCCCCCCCCCCCCCCCCCCCCCCCCGCCCCCCCCCCCCCCCCCCCCCCCCCCCCCCCCCCCCCCCCCCCCCCCCCCCCCCCCCCCCCCCCCCCCCCCCCCCCCCCGCCCCCCCCCCCCCCCCCCCCCCCCCCCCCCCCCCCCCCCCCCCCCCCCCCCCCCCCCCCCCCCCCCCCCCCCCCCCCCCCCCCCCCCCCCCCCCCCCCCCCCCCCCCCCCCCCCCCCCCCCCCCCCCCCCCCGCCCCCCCCCCCCCCCCCCCCCCCCCCCCCCCCCCCCCCCCCCCCCCCCCCCCCCCCCCCCCCCCCCCCCCCCCCCCCCCCCCCCCCCCCCCCCCCCCCCCCCCCCCCCCCCCCCCCCCCCCCCCCCCCCCGCCCCCCCCCCCCCCCCCCCCCCCCCCCCCCCCCCCCCCCCCCCCCCCCCCCCCCCCCCCCCCCCCCCCGCCCCCCCCCCCCCCCCCCCCCCCCCCCCCCCCCCCCCCCCCCCCCCCCCCCCCCCCCCCCCCCCCCCCCCCCCCCCCCCCCCCCCCCCCCCCCCCCCCCCCCCCCCCCCCCCCCCCCCCCCCCCCCCCCCGCCCCCCCCCCCCCCCCCCCCCCCCCCCCCCCCCCCCCCCGCCCCCCCCCCCCCCCCCCCCCCCCCCCCCCCCCCCCGCCCCCCCCCCCCCCCCCCCCCCCCCCCCCCCCCCCCCCCCCCCCCCCCCCCCCCCCCCGCCCCCCCCCCCCCCCCCCCCCCCCCCCCCCCCCCCCCCCCCCCCCCCCCCCCCCCCCCCCCCCCCCCCCCCCCCCCCCCCCCCCCCCCCCCCCCCCCCCCCCCCCCCCCCCCCCCCCCCCCCCCCCCCCCCCCCCCCCCCATCTCCCCCCCA